TAAAAAATAATCATGTCTGGATTTTTTCTTTAAATCTGAAAACCCAGCTGCTATACACTTGCAGGAATTGTTTACCTGACAAAGTAAAGTAAAGTATTGCACATACTCCGATGATAGAACCAACCCATTGTGCTATGAACTGTACATAACAGGAATCAGGGGTGGACCAGGATCCTTTGTCCGGGGGGGAAAACTTGTTCCTTTGAGCCCTTTCATGATAGGGACAGATATCTGAGGGCTAAATAAACTGTGCAATGCTGCCTCAATGATTGCTGTCAACATCAGTTTCCTTTACAACTCTCCGCATTCGGTCATCTTATAGGCCCATAGGAGGTAAGTGTAAATAAACATAACATTTACATTGTGCAGTCCCTTAAAAAATAATCATCATTTGATTTTTTCTTTAAAACTGCAGTATAGTGCTCACCTGCAGGTGTCTAGCAGCAATTAGTCACCACCTGGTGCTGATCTGGGAGGGTATTTGGCCTCTCCTTGCTGTTGAGCCTATGCCTCTGTATTGTTGCCATTTCCTGCATCCTGTTTCCTGTAGCCTGCATCTTGTTCCTAGTCTTGCCTTGAATCCTGACTCCCGCCCCTGACCCTTACCGCTGAGGTCTCCTGATCAGTGGCTCCCCTCTTGTTGTCCTGGTCCCCAGGGTTTGCCCTGTTGTCTCCGGTGTGTATTTTGTCATTTGTGTTAGTTAGGCTTTTATATGTTACTTGCGGGTGGTGGTGGGGGCGCTTATGGTTGTGGTGTTTTGGAGTAGCTAATAAATTATAGTTCATAAGCATTGTTTGGTGTGGTCACGTAATTGGCGCTCTTCTATAGATACCTGCACGCAGTGTGGGGACACCTGTGCACGGTATCGTGACACAAAGTAAAGTATTGCACATACTCCGATAATAGACCCAACCCATTTCATAACAGAAATCAGGGGTGGACCAAGATCCTTTGTTCTGGGGGGCAAACTCGACCATCTAGCCCTTTCATAGTAGGGGCAGATATCTGGGGGCTAAATAAATTGTGCAAAGCTGCCTCAATGATTACTGTTTTTTTCCGAAAGTTTATTGTGATATTCATTTTCACACCTTCCATCATCAGTTTCCTTTACAGCTCTCTGCATTCGAAATCAAACATCTGTTTGATTTTCTAATAGTTAATGGGGTCAAATCAACTATTCTGGGTGCAGGATGGAAAAGTTTTCTTGAGCAAATAATTTTTGCACAGTGAATTTTTTTTTTTTTTTTAGAAATTCCACTCATTGCCAATATCAAATGTTAAAACCAAATAAACTTTCGAATAACATTCTACATGTCTCTAATGGCATTATCAAATGTTTTGACGAGATTTTTCCTTGGAATGTTCATAAGAAAGTCTACTAGTGTATGGTGAGATTAAGTTGGTGGAAACTGATGCACTTAAAAGAAACATGTAAACACTGGGTGCACATAGGAATTCAACACAGATAGTGACCTTAGCACAGTTAAGCTGGCCATACACTGGTAGATTTTCCTATGAATACAGGTGAAACTCGAATAATTAGAATATCGTGCAAAGTTCATTTATTTCACTAATCCAACTTAAAAGGTGAAACTAATATATGAGATAGACTCATTACATGCAAAGCAAGATAATTCAAGCCGTGATTTGTCATAATTGTGATGATTATGGCTTACAGCTCATGAAAACCCCAAGAACCCCAAATCCACAACCTCAAAAAAGGCGATTATTACATGCAATCAATAAAACAAGGATTGTACATAGAACAATATCGGACCTCTGAAAAGTACAAATATGGATATGTACTCAGTACTTGGTTTGGGCCCCTTTTGCAGAAATTACTGCAATTACTTTTGCACGATATTCTAATTATTCGAGTTTCACCTGTATTTATACAAAAACACTCTTAATTTTTACACCACAGCTTCTAATGTGATTATCCTTTTTTTTATTGCTATATTAGGTACCTTTTGTTGTCATTCTGAATGATTTTTAGATCTCTGTTTTGTATGCATTGTAGGGTTGCACAGATACCAAGTACAGTACTCAGTACAAGTACGAGTACATATACCAATACTTTTGAGCTCCAAGACTACACTAGAGAACAATTCTAAAATTAGGAGTCAGCTGTCATTTGTAAGGAGCACACGGGGCTCCTGGGATTTGTAGATCCTTGTTTTATTGTATGATTTTGTTTTTATAAATATAAATAAAGGGATGCACAGATACCAGTTTTGCGAGTACTGGTACTTGCCGAGTACTTACAAGTACTGATACATTTTTGTTTATTGTCATGTGACAATTTTTCTAAAACAATACAGACTAATGATTTCAGGATAGAGGTGGAGCGCCAGAGCCAGGTCCCAGCTGCAACCCTGGTAGTTCTCATGAAAATGCCAAGTATCTGCACTGGTACTCGAAAAGTATCTGTGCATCCCTAATGTATGGTGCAGGTACAATCTGTACCCTGCTTTAAAAGCACTGCCTGGGTCATATTAATTAAATAGGAAATAAGGATTAGCAAGCAGCAGAGAGCAGAGACTTTGACTATAAAATGGTTATATGCTTCCATTTCTGACACTCTGCAATCTGAAGTATAATCACCTCTTGCATCCCCCCTTCCTTTAAGAAATTAACATTATGAATGGAGCAGAGGAGTAAATTATATCCGAAGGTTGTCTTAAAAAAAAATAAAGGAAGAAAATGGAAAGCACCTAATCAATTGATTACTAACAAAAGAGATGTATGAGACTGTGAACACTGAAGCATATACAGCAATGACATAAAGTAGTTCCAAACCATAACCGGATGACCTTCATTTACTAATCACAGGAAGTGCCTAAACAAGGCCCTTCAGGGCAGAAAGAATAACTATTATGTTTATAAAAGCTGTAGATATATAAAGATTAAAAACAAGTTTGGGAATAACATTGACAAGAAAGATTATATCAAATGTTCGTGATTGGGTTTAGATCTACTTTAATTGTAAGCCAGCTGATACAGAGGTTAGTCCAAACCTCCTTTAAGGAATAGTGACACATTAGAACCCAGATTTTCCCAAGGCAGATAGAGACCTTGTAAGTGTATTTAATACTGCTAAGAGAAAAATAGCAAGCAGCTCATTAACTAGAAAAGGAGTGTAAAATAGAGCAGCAGTTGACAGAAAGTGCATAAAATATTTTCTCATACACGGTCTTGCTACACAGCAATGGGGGCATAATTTAACTCACCACACGCGAACACTATAGCAACTGTTTGTGAGCTGTCTATGGTGCTGAACTAAAGATTGCTCCCAGCAGAGAATACTTCCCTGCACCATTCCCATTATCTTGGAGGAGGAGGTTATCTTGGCTAACTGCAAACACATACCTATACCTTTAATTATAAGCAGTTGAGTTAAATGTAGTCCTCTTTTTAACAATACCACTACAGCAATAAATAATCCCGGGGTGGTTCCTGTTTAGTGTTGGGCTCGATGTTCGAACATCGGCAGTTCGTTAGTTTGGCGAACATACGATCTGTCAGGGTGTTCGGTGGGCTGTTTTCCTGCCGAGCATCCCGCACAAGGCGCTGTGCCTTATGAGCCCTGATTGGTTAACGCCTTGCACCTGACCACATGTCAGGTGCAAGACTTTGCCCAATCAGGGCACAGAGAAAAGGGAAGCCATGTTTGTGCAAAGTCATGATGACTCTGCCCAATCATGACTCACCTGTTACAATAGTAAACAGTTGGTCGGAGCTAGCTGTCACTGCTAGCTCCGCCCAAATGTTTATATGTTACCGGCATTTGTCAAGATGCCATTCTGTGGCTGGTGTTCATCGCGAGTGAACGCGACGGTGGTCATCTGTTTTTTATTTTCTTTAAGGGGGAACTTCACACACTTTTTTTTGTTTTGTTTTTTACATGGGGTCCCTCCTAAAATTCCTACCAGACCTTAAGGGTCTGCTATGACTTTGAGGGGGAATCCCACACACTTTTTTTTGTTTTTTTTTACTCTGGGTAACTTCTAAATATTCCTACCAGATTTTAAGGGTATGGTATGACTTTTGGGGGGAACCTCATGCTTTTTTTTTTTTTTTAATAGGGTCCCTCCTAACATTCCTACCAGACCCAAAGGGTCTGGTATTGTTTGGGATGGGGAACTGCAAGCTTTAAAAAAAAATGTCATTTGTTTTTCTTTCGACATGTCAGTCTTTCTGCAGCAGGTTCTATACATTGTACAAGTTTGCCACTTTACAGGCAGGTTAAGGGGACCCCCCAAGCTTTGATATTTAAAGGCATTTTTTTTTTTATTACCATTTAAGTGATGTTAAAATCACTGCTCCTTTAAAAACTGTATTTTTAAAAAGTTTTTTTTTTCCATTGATTCATGTCCCCAGGGCAGTACCCGAATCCCCATACAATTTCTATGGCCAATAACTTGCATATAACCCTCTTAAAGGGGACAATTGTTTTTGAAAGTTCTACCTCCATAGACTTGCATTAAGTTCTAAGTTTGAATTAGAACTTTTTCCATGTTCAAAAGTTCGAATTAGAACCGAACGCAGGGGTGTTTGGCTCATCACTATTCCTGTTTACCATTATGAGCTCTGTTCATCTCACTGTGCACAAAGCTAATGCTGAGTTTATTATAAAAGAGCAGAACACATTTTTAAGGCACCTTTAGCATTGGTATAACTCATAAATTACACCGGGCAGATGTGAATATTAAGGCTGACCTCCATATCCGTGAACCACAAATATAAAGCTTTAACCTGCAATGCAATCCTGGTTGCTATATTCTGTTTTTGTATGTTTTCACACTGTGTTGGATCTATAGATGTCTAGGAGGCATGCTTGATATCCAGGAGATTACTTAGCAAGACACGGAATCCCTCACTGGGGCCCATACTGTGAAGGTAATTCACGTTTCACTGTCTGACCCACCAATTCACCAGAGTTCTCTCAGATTACTACCCCACCAGCAATAAGTATTAAATATGAACCAAATTCACTTACTGCACAGGGCAATTATATGACTGCTGTCTTCATGAACAAACTTCCTGGTTACAGCCTCTTCCATTATCTGCTTTACCTATAAAACAAAGTATGATGTTTTAGCACTTGTATGTATAGACTGAACACAGATTTCATATCGTCATCAATATTGTCCAGAAATGCAGAAACAAAGAAAATGGGTGAACAAGAAAACCATTAAGAAAGGCTCAATAAAATACAAATAGCAATTTGTTAATCCAAAATGAGTAACATTTCTAAATGAAGGTTCAAACTGTGACATTTTCTTCTGATTTGCATTTTTTATTTTTACAGCACCATCACAGAAAAAGGGCTAGGAATAGAGAACAGTCGTTAATTAAATTCAAAGATCTTCAGGAAATGTCTGCTTCTATTGTGGCAGACATCTCTTTTTTTTCTGAATGCTTGGTAATGCTCTATTATTAACTCCTACACAACCGAACTGTTAGTAGTAATTTTTGAATTTGTCTACCAGCACATATTGGGTAACAAAGGTGGACATTCATTGTAGAGAACCCCTCTGCCAAAAAACAACTCAGGCCCACTTTGATGCTCTGCATTGGTGCTACACAAAAGTGTATGCCCTTTTTCTATAGTTCCATCTGGCTAAAATTCTTCCTTTGTCGGGACAACACGGGGAACCAACAAACCCAATTATGCCTCTGTTTCCTGCCACATTTCATCATTCTATAAACAATTCATTCAAATTTTTCTCTCAGCATGATTGGCATGATTTCATCAGATTTAGCCAGTGCCCAGAGATTCATATGCCATATCACTCACACAGATAAGTATCATTTCTGAGTTTTAGTCCTGCTTCAGAAATTTTCCAAATGATTAGCAGTAAAAAGAAGTATCCTTCTGTTGGTTATGTGTCTTGCGGAATGCCGAATTAGGTTTTTCTTGCTTAGAAGAACATTACATGTATGTACAGCATTATGAAGAGAACACAGAAAGAAAAATACAACTTCTTGCGTATCATGCACATAGAGACTAACATTGCACCACATCACCATCTACCGCTCAAAAGACATATTGCAGTATATGTCAGCATATGCTGTTGCATTTCCAACACCTACTTTCTTGTGACCATCTGCTTCCCTATTTGGCTTCCTTTGTCCTGATCAGACACTCTGTTCTTTTAAATTCCTATTTAAAATGTAGAACATGTAGAAAGCCCACTCCTGTGAGTCTTAAAGGAGAACTATGAGGTGAGTGCTTTTCACTCATCCTCATCGTTCTAGCCAACCTGTGACAATGAAACTGTCACAGGTCGGCTCAGTAGATCGGGAAGTGAGCGAACACATACCGGCGTTTGCTCACTTCTCGATCCTGGAGGGGAGGGGGCAGGTACAGATCGCTCTCCCTCTAGATAGGCAGAGCCAGCTGTCACTCACGCAGCTGGGCGGATCCAGACATAATTGTCGGGATCCGCTTCAGTTGCGGCGCCTCAGTATACCGCGAGAATTATTGTTTTGTTCTTATAATTCATTATCCTTTTCATAATATCCCACTGCAAAGTAGTATTACCAGCTCTCATGTCTTGAGATACTTTTTACAAAGGTTTAGGAGAACCATACACTGGATGTCATTCACCATAGTGCCCGGCAGTGGCGTAACTACCACCATAGCAGCCTACGCGGCCGCTATGGGGCCCGGGCCAGAGGGGGGCCCGGTCGGGAGCAGGAGAGAGGCTTAGGGATCCTTCCATGCGGCCGCAAGTTAAAATCTCAGTCGCACGGAACCTAAGGACACCTGCACTCCTCTCCCCTGCCACAGTGTAGAGCGGGGGGAGGGCGGAGTCATCTGTTCTGTTCTGTTCGGCTGGAGAAGAAGCAGCGGTGTCTGATCTCCACTGCTGGCCACGACTGACGACAGGTAAGCGGGAGGGGGGGGGGCAGGTGACAGGGACTGCAGTCTCTCAGTCTTGTCCTCATATCTACTGAGCTGCAGGAGCCATTAACACTGGCCGCGGCTCATTCATATGCTAATTGAGGGATTTGCATATTAATGAGTCGAGGTATTCATATGTAAATCCCACCATGCTTCAGTAATGTGCAAATCGCCCTTCCCACTCCAAGGGAACTGAATGAGGGGGGTGGGGCAGGGGGGGAGTCAGGTCCTAGACTCCTAGAGTAGAGAAAGCAGGGTTAGGGCTTGTACACACCATATACAGTGCGTTCCAGAGTGGTTAGCTGCTGGAACACACTGTATCGCATAGTAAACTCTCCCATGCGTTCTGGGGTGGGAAGGGGCGTTGTGGTGCATTGAAGTCAATGGCACTGCAGCCACGCCCCCCTGCCCGCAGTGCAAGTGACCGCACCAGAACGCATGGCACACTCCACCCACTTTGTGCACCAACCCACACTGCCACCCACCCACACTGCAACCCACTCTGTGCACCCACCCACATCGCCCACCCACTCTGTGCACCCACCCACATCGCCCACCCACTCTGCCAAAGAAATGAGGGAAAGTGGGTTATACAGTATTGCACTGTGTAATCCTTCTTTGGTGTGGCAGTGTAATAACAACTTAAAATAACATTGCCACAGCAGTGAAGCTGGGGAAAGTGGGTTTACAAATTATTAACCCCTGTAGTATTTTAAATTATAATTAAACCCCCCTTGTGTGATTGCAAATTCCATTTCCCCAGCTTTATTGGTGGCACTGTTAAAGAATTAGGCCTCGTTACACAGGACGTTCTGGCATTCCTGCAGCAGAAACATATATATTCTTGTGACAGGAATATCAGGTGTCCCACTTAGATGTGGCCGCTGTACCCACTGAAGTTAATGACTGGGTGACAGCGGCCATATCCGTAAGCAGCAGTCCACACGTAACGTACGCGATATGATTAAATGCAGTTTTGAATAGATCACTGTCTCTGGACGCACGTATCCTAAGCTCAGGGACACTGATCTATTGTAAACAGCATTTAATCGTATGATATAATAATAATGATAATATATGCTGTAGTTCAAGCACCACAGGGGGGTGCAGGTTGGTTGGTTGGGGCCCTATACAAAATCTTGCTATGGGGCCTGTGATTTCTAGTTACGCCCCTGGTGCCCGGAATAAGAATTGTCTTTGTCTGTAATATACGGCTCCGCCCACTCCTCCAACGTCCGTCCACGCCCACAGATGCGCTCGGCGTTGCCCCCTCCAGGGGTGTCGTCCGGCTCCTCCTCACATGCGGTCCCCTTAAGAACTGAGTAGTGAAACGACCGGCGTCTCAGTATTGAGTTGGATACAGACGCTGACCGTTCATGTGTAGCTGTTCCCTCTTGGAGAGCTGATTTTCAACCCAAGGACTCAAACTCTGGCTTCAGCCCTGTTGGGCAATCTTGCAGTGGACCTTCATACGCAGCCCAGCTCACCCTCACCCCTGCTGCTACTGTGGACATTCACACCAGGAACCATCCCACTTAAAGGAAAGAAGAAAGAAGAAAGAAGAAAGAAGAAAGAAGAAAGAAGAAGAAGAAGAAGAAGAAGAAGAAGACTTGATATGACCTATGGGGAGGATATCTTAATATCAGTGTCTGCATGAAAGAAAATATCCAGTCAGTAATCAACTTGCCAATGTGACCTAAGTGACAATGACCACTGCTGAATTATGGTACAGAAAGGTCTGGAGAACACCCAGCTCCTGGCCAGAAACTGATAATGATGTCTGTGTAATATAATTTCCTATGCTGACAATCCCATGGGGCTGTGCAGAAACCTTGGATGGATTTCATTCTCTTCTGACAAGCATGTAGCTACACTCATTAACCAATTATGTTTCTTGGTAACTGCAGAAGTAATCAATATACAAACTGACACCACTAACAAGAAAAAGAAGGACCTTTATTTGTGATCAATTATAAATTGTGAGCCACTTTAATGGACAATGAAGGGAACAATTAATTGACACTATCCTCTTTCCTACTGATGTTCAATTCCAGGTTACAAAACACTTGGAATATGGAAAAATGGATGTCAGTGAATTACCCACATATTTATTAGGCAGGGACTCCCTTTAGGACAATAGGAAATAATACGCTTTTCTGAAACATATATGTTCAGCATTTTGTGAATTCAATGTCTGAAATGGTGAAAGGGATAGTTAATATATCTTGCCTGACACTTATCACAGAGAAACATCCTGCAGTGTTTGTCTTGGTAAACATATATATCTAGCAAATGTCAGATCAGACGCTTTACAGAAGACCGGATGGTGGCAATGTCAGTGCATTCAATGCTATTAATCTATAGAGCCTCTAAAAGAGTTTCTCATCACCTCTAACCAAACTGCGTTACAGTTTTTATAAAGCTGTTTACTTTCAAATTTCCATAGTAATAGAGGTAATGCAAACCAATTCACTATCCCATGCTTGTTGGTTTACATGCTGATATTTCAGAACAAGCCCTCTTTCTTGAACAGTGGATACTCATATTTGTCAAAAACAAGCAAGTGTCCACTAAAAATGTATCTATAGGCTATATTTGAAAGATCAATTTTTAGTGGACCCTTGCTTGTGGTTTGACTCACCGACTGTAGTCTTATATTTCCTGGGGGATTTTGGGGAGCTCCAGCAATGAAATGTCCCTTCCATAGTTCTTTGCCTTGTTAGCACTCATCTTACAGGGTTTAATCACTCGGCTGCCGGAGGCTATTCACTATTTCAGCCGTACAACGGCTGCCTTTGGCTGAGCCGAAGTGCAGAAGGGCTTCGACTCAGCCGATCCAACATCTGGATTGGCTGAGCCAAAGCGGCATTCGGTTCAGCTATTGTGCTCGGTACCTCCATGGTACCGAGTAGAATAGGAAATCAATGAAAACAGTTTTTAAAAAGTTGAAAAAAAGATTTTAAAAATGTAAATGAATGTAAAATCTAAAAAAAAAAGATTAACATAAAAAACAATTGGGTGGAGCTAGCAGTGACAGCTAGCTCCGCCCAACTGTTTCCTATTGGCCGGAAACCTGCTAGAGCAGTTGTCATTGTTTTAATTGTTGTCATTGTTTGTTTCCCATTTGGGGACGCTGATCTGTTTGTTTGCTGATTGTTTGTTGTC